AAACCCGTAATAGCCTAAAGCATACTAAGTGACGAGCGTAACACCATTGTGAAATAAAAATAATAATTATTCTCATATAATGTTTAAATAAAATTTTAAAAAAAATATGTTTGTTTTCTTTTTCATTCAAAATATAGTTTAACACTTACAGCTCCTTCTTGTATATTAAATGATAAATCTTCATATAAATAACTTTTTAATTCAGCTTTAAAACGTGGATGTTGATTTAATATTTCACTTAATGTAATCAAATCGATATAATGTAGATCACAGTAGGTCAGTGATTTTACATCACAACGTGAACGTATAATTGGAAATGATGATGATGTTGTTGTTGTTGTTGTTGATGAGGATAGATTATTCAGTGTAGTGTTTGTTGTTATATCAGTTTCGATAAATGCACCGAACCAGTCGTTTTTACCTGAGCAAAAGATAAAGCACTATGTTTATGGTTATAGAAATACACATATTGTTATCTATTAGAGTAACTTTGACAAACTTATACTTATACTTCAAACTGAACTATTCATTGGAAAGATTTTATCTTAGTATGTATACGAACTGTTTGTTAATCTCTCTACATTTTGATGGTCAGTAATAATAATAATAATAATAATAATAATAATAATAAGAAGAAGAAGAAGAAGAGAAGTAAAGAGCTGACAAAACTCGAGATATGCAACTTTCGATTTAAAAATGATATGTTTATCATGACTGACATCTACTATGACAATAGATCCTGCTATTTTCATGAAAAACATGAATGTTACAATTGCTTTCAGATTTCTTCTAAAGTAAATACTATGGAGCGATTGATAGTTCTTATGGAATGGTTATTTGTTTACCAGTTGGGCTTGTCAGTATGCATTAGAGTAGTAGGAAATAGTAAGCAAAAACTGTACAGTCATTCTACAGTCCACTTCTTACATTGTTTGTTTACATGTTGATTTCATGAGTGACCTCATAAGTCCCTTTCTAATACTATGTGATTATGGCTTAGTTGTTTCTTGGAATGGTTAACTCCTCTGTAGAGCATTCTCAAAATTCATAGGTGACCCATGCTATCAGTTTTCCCATTGTAGATAATTCCTATTTCATTATTCATTTAATTATTCTCAAATTTCTGTCCATATCCTAAACATAACCAGGATATAATCAATTATAATTCCAATCGATTCCCTAATTTAAACCAATAATGGTGTAACTCATTTTTGTTTCAGATTTTAGTTTCTTCATAGTAGACCTTTTTAATTTGTGTATTAATATTGATAAAACTATATACAGCATGAGATATGAAGATGTTAATTGACATATGAACTCCGCCAGTAGAACCTTCGGGGCTACTGCCGATCTCAAGCCCGGGTTAAGGAGGACGGTTGGGCATGGGGTTGGCGACCACATCCCACCAACATCTGGAAGGAAAGTATGGTAAACAGTGGACAACTAGGACGCAGCTGGACGATCTGGACTTCGCAGATGATCTGGCTCTTCTATCACACACGCAACAACAAATGCAAGAGAAGACGACCAGTGTAGCAGCAGCCTCTGCAGCAGTAGGTCTCAACATACATAAGGGAAAAAGCAAAATTCTCCGATACAACACAACATGCACCAACCAAATCACACTTGATGGAGATGCTTTGGAGGACGTTAACACCTTTACATATCTTGGCAGCATCATCGACGAGAAAGGTGGATCCGATGCAGATGTGAGGGCGCGGATCGGCAAAGCAAGGGCTGCATTTCCACAACTGAACAACACCTGAAACTCCAAACAAATATCAATCAAAACCAAAATCAGGATTTTCAATACAAATGTGAAGACAGTTCTACTGTATGGAGCGGAAACTTGGAGAACTACGAAAGCCATCATCCAGAAGATACAAGTGTTTATTAACAGTTGTCTTCGCAAAATACTTCGGATTCGTTGGCCAGACACCATCAGCAACAACTTACTGTGGGAGAGAACAAACCAGATTCCAGTGGAGGAGGAAATCAGAAAGAAGTGGTGGTAGTGGACAGGACACACACTGCGAAAAGCACCGAACTGCCTCACAAGACAAGCCCTCACATGGAACCCTCAACGCAAAAGGAAAAGAGGAAGGCCAAGGAACACCTTACGCTGAAAAATAGACAAAGACATGAGTAGAATGAAGGAAAACTGGAAAGAACGGAAGAAGGGAATCTCAGGACAGATTTGGTTGGAGAAAACTGATCGGCTCGATTGGGGGTAACAGGCGTAAGTAAGTAAGTAATTGTCAAATGACAAATACTGTAATCATCACTTATTCAATAACAATCAAAGTTATTCATTTTAATCTTTTTAAAAATTCCTCTTTATCATCTTACCAAGTAAAGCAACCACTTCATCCGTTTCCAATACTTCCAATGATCCATTCGATACAAAATATAAACGACGTAAAATATCTCCAGTTTGTATTAGATATTCACCAGGTGTACAAAATGTTAGCTTAAAATTAATAGCTAACGATTTTAAACAATCACGACTAGCTTTTTCAAATACTTTCAAACCAAGTACTTCACGGTTTAAATGTAAATAAATATCACCTTGTAATTCTTCTGGATAAATTTTCAACACCTATTTTGAAGTAGTAAAATGAGACAATATTTCATATACATGAAAGTAAATAAATCATATTTGAGAAAGTGTACACTGATTAGAAAAAAAACCTTGGTTAATCAATTTTTTTTCCAGTTTACTACGACGAAATAAAAGCTAAGAATTATGTTTTAGTAGTTTGCATTACTTACTGATCTTGGCTGGTTAACTTTAGAAAGTGAATACATACCGAAAGTCTGCTTCGTTCTGGATAGACGTCCTGGAGATAACTCATGCATCAGTACCTATACTTCTGTCTGGTACCAACTAAAGTCTATCATCTAACGGTTTACCCTTTTAACTC